GAGCCACCTTGCAGCCCCAATATTCACTCAAATTAAGTTATAGGACTCTCTTCAACAGTCCTGGAGATGTTTTAAAGACTAAAATCCAGTCAAATTATTTCTGTGTTAATAACATGTTATGTGTTGTCTCCTTTTTCTCGCTGCCTATCCAGTCCTGGTGTGTTAAGCAAGGTTTAAGTGCTTTTAACTGGGGTCCCACATGACCCCAATGTATTATTATTTTTAATTAGAGGGCCCTTCGTAGACATGACATAGTTGCCTCTGCCCATGATTGCACTGAGCCCCAGTAAAGCACGATCCCGTCCAAGTTACCACAAAACAGGTGTTTTCTTCCACTAATGGTGGTTGGCTGGTTGTCAAAGGGGAAATGGGTTCTATCCATGTATGCATTACATGTTATTTAAAATATCGTGGTTATATCAACATTTTTTGATTTTAACCTTGAAATATCAAATTCCACATCCCCAGTGGGAAGCCTCTTAATGGTTTCTGATGCAAACAATGTGTCTGTCTTGCACCGTTTTCAAGTTACAGTGCAGTCAAAATGTATGACCTTGAGTTTGACCTTAACCCTTTATGGGGCAAGTGACCATATTTGGTGACCTTCTTGGACGTTCAGTATGTCCACCCTGTGCCTCTACTTGAGGTTGAAGAACCATGTGCACTTTGATTTAGTTTTTATATTAGTGCTAATATCACTACCTTATGAAAATGTCACTAAACAAACGTTCCAGGCACTTTATAAACGCTTTGTTACTGGTTTGCATTAAACTCCACTTTGATTTATTTTTTGAGATTAGTGCCACAAATACCACCACCCCAAGAAAAATATCACTAAATGAACTTGCCAAGTACTTATAAATACTTTGTTTCTGGTTGTGTATCATTACTTCAAACTAAAATGTTTCTAAATAAATGTTTTTTGCAGTTTGTTACATTTTCTTTTATTTATAATAAATTCCCCTTTTTTAACCATAGACGGGCAAGTTACCACATATGGTAGCTTTATTTGCAACTTTTTTTTTAAAGTCACAAACGTAAAAATATATTGAAATATCATTCAATAACACCCTCAGGTTGAAATTTTCATTTTCCACTTATTTCAAGGAGTGTCCTTGAGGGTTAAAATATCATCCAAGGTCAAATCATAACCTGCAGTTCAGCCA